CGTGAATCATATTTAAGAAATAAAGTATAAAATATTACAGAGAAAGAAAGAGAGAGTGAGGGAATTGTGTTTGATTAGTCTTTATTGTAGAAATAATCTTTATATGTATAGACAAATGAGGTGTAATAGAGGAAGTTATATTTATGCCCCTATTTTAAGTAAAATTGTACAAATTATTCTAGGTATCTCACCATTCTGGGCCCAGTTTTGCTGCTCTCGGGCTCGGGCGGCTAGGCTTGGTAGGACTTTGTTGAGCTTTTCTGGTCAACTGGATCCGGTGGGCGCTATGGGTCAGGCTGCCTTCTATTAGTTAGATGTCGGTAGAGCCGATCGAGTAAGTCTTGCCTATCGATTGGCATAATGGTCGTCAACCCTTGATTCTCTAGCAGAGTGAAGCTAGGTTGTTGGGCGAAAGATGAATTGTTGTAATCCGACAGGTAGCTTGTTCTTCGACGAAGAGATCTTGGGGGAAGGGTGTTGGTCGTTCCCAGTGTAGTCATAAGATCTGAGGTATTGGCCTCTTCTTCGGGCTTGATTTCATCGAAGTGTTATGTTTAGGTGATCATTTACCTTATGACTAGGTGAGTCATCCAACTCGTGCCATACATTCATATTTATGATAATTGGCTATAAGTTTTGCTCATCTAGTCAGACATTTGGGTCCCCCACTTCTTCTACCAGCCAGTCTAACATTTAATATTTCTTTTGTCTTATGGACCGTTGGATCTCTTCGAGATTCGTGCTGACATGATTTTTTTTTTTTACATATTTAGTTTTATGATTTTCTTGTTTTTTGAAAATTGTGCTGCGAAAGAAAACAATAAAATTTAATGCATAATAATAAATATCATTTATAACTATTCAATGATTTAATAATTAAACTCGTTGTATTTCTATGCCCAAATTTAATATTATTCAATTCTATAAATAATTGAGCACTTTGAACAAGAGAAATCTAGAGCTAAATATAATGTAGTTTTAGGATTACTAAGACCATATGATATTATTTAAGAAAAAAAAAAATCAAATAGTCAAGGTGGAACTCTTTAACTCATTTATGTCAAAAAAATGAAGAGGATGTCTACGCTTGAACTATAGAAATGTTTTTTTTTTCGCTTTCATGTATTCAAAAGGATTTCAAAAAAGAGAATTTTAGTACTCTAAAAATACCAAAAGCTATGCATACTTGCTATTGATTCACATCCTTGATCAGTGTCAAATTCCCCCATTGATCAACACTAATGCCCATCTTCGATGCCACAAATTGTCGATGCCTGTTATTGATTGCTATTGACACTTGGTTTGTCATCATTTGATATCATCTATCACTAACATAACAAATTGTCGATACTCGCCTTCAATTGTCACCAAATAATATTGATGTTCATTTTCCATCACAACCTGACATTGAATGATATCCAGATCCACCCTTGTTTCCTTGTCATGTAATACATCCCCTCTAAAAGACAAAAAAAGTGTGGGTTTTGTAACTTATAGCTGATTAATTTCAACAGAGCTTTTCTCTATGATTTTTCATTTCAGGTTTTCCTTAAAAATTTATGTAGATTTGTGAGTCATGGTCTACTTTATATTTGTTCATTCTAAACTTTCATAAATTAAGCAAGTCTATAAAGTCATTCAAAAATGTTGTGTATATTTTATCTTGCAACACTTGATCTTTAGATTTTATTAATTAGATATATTAAAAATCATGTGATCTAATTTGTAAAAGCTGACTGCAAAGCTAAATTGATTTCTCTCATGCTTTTTTAAAATGTAAAACAATTTTAACTTGGGTCAGTCAACAGTGTAACTAAATCATGGTAGCTCTTGCCTTTACTTGTTGAGATCTATTTTTAATTTAGAGATCTAATTGTAAATAAAAAATATAAAAGTAATTTAGAAATTTATTTATAAAATATTGTAAGGCCTCCTAAAGAATTGATGCATATAATAATTTTTCAAGAGCAATCTATTTTTTATGGTACAAAAACTAACCTAGCAGCTAGCCCTCGTCGTACTGTCAGCAGCGATAGAGCTCGCTGGAATTTGCAGACGAGATCGACATCTACATCACCGCGAAGGTTTACCGCGAGAGAAAGGAGCGGAGCAGGACTTTGCTTTTGTTTGTACATAGTAAAGTTTGGTGGTTGCCTTATGAAAGAATTGTGTTCGGGATGTTAGGGGACGGAGATAATAGCAAATCATTAGAACTTCTGGGAAAGATAGATTTTGAAGTTTTGAAAGTTTTGGTTGGGCTCATACATGAAGTTGGTGTGTCGACGAGAGCAACTATCTCAACACGTGTTCTAGCTTAGTCGAGTGAACTTCCAGGAATGCAAACAACATTGGCTGCCTCGAGTTCAGGTATGACAGGTGCTCGGGGGAGACCCACAGGTGCTACAACTGTGGAGAAGTGGGACACTTAAGCAGGGCCTGTCAAAAGCCACCCGAGGAGCGAGAGACAAGTGGATATGGACAGTTTAGAGGTCGCGACTATAGTCGTGGAGGCCAAAGAGGTGGAAGAGAGGGGTACCGGATAAATTTAATGGTAGCGGAGGACAAAAAAGAGACAGAGGTAACCTTTAACGATAAGGATTACGAGCTCTTTGGGATGTTGAAGAGGAAGCAGAGAGGGACAGGTGATATGACTGAGAATGCATCCACCTTATCGTCGTTCAAGGGCAACACTACAACTTATGCTCACTCAACCAAAAGTACTCGTGATACACATGTTCTTGCCTCTATATCAACTACAAGAGCACCAGAATGGATGCAGATCTTGGTGTATCTCAGCATGTGATAGGTAACCCTAGAGAATTCTCTTCTTATACTCATCTAGCAGTTCTAGAGAGCATTCAGACTGCTAATAGTATAATACAACTTGTGGTCAGTAAGGGTACGATTTATGATTTTGTTTAATGTTTTGCATGCTCCCTCCTTTCCACTGAACATTTTATCCATTAGTGCTATTATTCTTCAACAAAAATGTATTGTCTAATTTGATATTCCTAGGGTGATCTTTCAAGAGAAGGAGACTGACCAAAACTTGGGACTGACACGTGGTATATTGAACTCTGATAAATTGATAGAGAGGGGATGGACTCAGCCTTGACATTTATGGTTGAGAATGCTAGAGTAGAAGGATCTGAGTGGAGTGTGGAGAATGTATTATTGCTACATCACAGGCAGCTAACACACTCTTCACTCACTCTATTGAGTTGTTTGTATCCATGCTTGTATGAAAAGGCAAATAAGGAAAAACTAGTGTGTGATGTTTGTGAGTTTGACAAGCTCACTAGGTAATCTTATGTCAGTTATGGGAACAGGAGCTCTAGTGTTTCATTTGATACATTATGATGTATGGGGATTTTGTTCTACAACTTCGATGAATAGTTATAGAAATTTTGATGTTCATTGATTGTTTTTCTCGTCTTACTTGACTGTATCTAATGAGGAACAAAAGTGATGCACTTGCTTGCTTAGATACTTTCACAGAGCGATTTAAACTCAATATGGTGCAGTTGTGAATGTATTGAGATTTGATAATGAGATAGAGTATACCACTAAAATGTCTGAGGAGTACTTGTCAATTTAAGGGATAGAGCATCAAACCACATACACATCGACACAAATAAAATAGCACACTAGAAGAATATAACTTTTCTAAATGTAGCTCGAAGCATAATGATCTCGATGAATGTCTCAAAGCACTTGTGGGGGCAAACAATTTAACATTTGCTCTATTGGTCAATAGAATGCTCTCAAGAGTGTTGATGTGGCAATCTTCTTGAGAGTTGTTGAAAGGAGATAATGACGGGGTTCTTCCATTGAAGCTATTTGATTATGTATGTTTTGTGAAGGACATTTGACAATCAGTAGGGAAGTTAGATTCCAGAGCTATTAAATGTGTTTTTGTGGGTTATTCTGTTATTCAGAAGGGATATGTTTATCGGAGCCCAATTGAGAGGAGTTTATTTGTGAGTATGGATATGAAATTTAGAGAATCAGAACCATATTATTCCTTGGAGGTGATCTCACTCTTCGGTGACTTGCCATATATTGGAGGTATGAGGCGAGAGGGGGAGAGTAGTGATGGCAAGGGATTAATACATGTGAGAACGATGCCTTGTCCCGTTGTGTGGGAAGAATCTGCTAATGAAGGGTTAGACAATGAGAATAATAAAGCTGAGTAAGAACCGAATAATGAGAAAATTGAGCCCAAAGGTTGTGGAATTCAAGCTTAAGGGGAGCTAAGAGTGCATACAAAGAGGAGGAGATAGAAAGAGGGAACAGTGTCCGTCATGCCACTCATGCCATCACAAAGTCCTTATACCAGTCTACCCCAACTCATGATACACTTGTACCATCCACCTTAGAATCAAATTGCACAGGTTATATGATTCCTGACTCTTCTCCTCCCACTCCCATGACTTTAAGCATGACCTCTTGCAACGATGTGGGGGTCATTTTTTTTTATCGTTTTGGTTTCTCACATGATATTTCTCAGTTTTTCTCATACTCTAGCATATCAACTGTATACAAAGCATTCATTGCATCTATGGGCACTGTCTCTATTCCCATGTGTTGGCAGGTAGCTAAGGAGGATCCAAAGTGGAAGACTATCATGCTGAAGGAACTTGGTGCTCTCAGGAAGAATAAGATGTGGCAGCTTGCATTGCTGCCAACAGAGAAAAATGTAGTTGGGTGCAAATAGGTCTTCACAGTGAAGTAGATCTCAAAAGAAAAAATTGATCGCTACAAAGCACAGTTGGTGGATAAAAGATATAGTCATACGTATGTCATCGACTAAGAGGAGACATTTGCACCAACTGGATGTGAAAAATGTGTTTCTTCATAGTGATCTACTAGAGGTGTACATGGAAATACCCCCGAGCTTTGATACAAACAAAACAATGGGCAAGGTATGTAGACTGAAGAAGTCACTATACGGTTTGAAATAGTCTCCTCGAGCATGGTTTGATAGATTTATGAGGGCAATGGTAAGTATGGACTATCAGCAGATCAATGCTGACCACACAGTGTTCATTCAAAGAAATGATGGTCGCACCACTATACTTGTTGTGTATGTGGATGATATGATAGTTACTGTTGATGATGAGGGAGATATTGCGCAACTAAAGTCAAGATTGGGCAAAGAGTTTGAGATGAACCTGGGACAACTTAGATGCTTCTTTGGAATTGAGGTGGCTCGTGGTGCAAAGACGATTATCCTATCTCAGATGAAGTATGTGCTAGACTTAGTCATAGAGACAAGCGTGTTGGGATGCAAGTTTACAACTTCACTTATTGATTAGAAGGAAAAGTTAAGTGCAGAGGCGAGAGAGCCAGTTTATCGAGAGAGGTACCAGAGGTTGGTAGGTTGTTTCATCTATTTGAGTAACACTCGTCTCGACATATCATTTGCAATAAGTGTGGTGAGTCATTACATGCATGATCCAAGGAAGGGCCACACAAACGTTGTATATCAGATTCTGAAGTACCTGAAAAGTGCACCTTGGAAGGGGTTGATCTTCGTAGGAAGAATGAACATGTGAGCATTGAGGGTTATTATGGCTCTAACTGGGGGAGTTGTCTTGATGATAGGAGGTCCACATCTGGATACTACATGTTTGTAGGTGGTAACTTGGTTTCTTGGAAGAGTAAAAAGCAGCCGATAGTAGCGAGCTCAACAACAGAGACAGAATATAGGGCCATGGCCTTAGGAGTTGCTGAGATGATGTGGCTGAAAACCTTATTGGTAGAGCTCAAGACAGATCAAGGAGCTTAAATGAAGTTGTGGTGCAACAACAAGTCAGCAATCAACATTGTCAACAACTCGGTGCAACACAATAGAACCAAACATGCGAAGATTGATAGGTTTTTCATCAAGAAAAAGTTGAATAACGAACTAGTGGAGCTGTATCATGTAGCCACTAATGAGCAAGTGGTTGACCGTCTCACAAAAGAACTTAGCTCATTAGATTTGTCAAGTTATGTGACAAGAAGGGATTAGTAGATATATTTTGCCCATCTTGAGAGGTAGTGTTGAGATTTGTATCTAGTTTAAAGTCCTAATTGTAAATAGAAAATATAGAAGAAGTCTAGATAGTTATTTGTAAATTGTTGTAAGGCCCTATATAAGCCCAAGCTATTGATGAATAGAACAAGTGTTCAAGAGCAATAAATTCTTTATCAATCATACTCAGCTCAAAGAATTTCTCATTTACCAAACTTGACAACCTAATGTTTCAAGCCTAAGACAACTCTAATTTGAACTGTTACCTCACAAGTTGGCTTGTTTATAAAACATTAATATAAAATATTCTAAACAAAAGCTTTCAAGAATTTGAGTACGAAGTTCTTTAAAACATTTAACATGTATAGCCTAACCCAACTAGACTTTGTCTTCTTAGCGTGTTAATATATTGCAATTAAATAATTGTCATCCCACATATGGCTGTAGACACATGAGGTGTCAATGTGCTATAAATATTATCGAGAATAACAACAACAAAGAAAAGAAAAACAATGTCAGACAATTTCTATTATTGAGGCTCAATATTATTTAAATCAACATGTATACTCTTTTCAATTCATGCCTATCCTTTGTTTCACCTCGCTAGTAATGTAGCTTAGCAGATATAATTGGGAAAATTTTACAAATCAGAAATATACATAATAATTTTAGACCAAATTTACAGTGTCAGGCCACATAATCATGGTTCATGCCGAAAATAAATAAATAAATAAATAAATAAAAGGCTTCCATTGTCATCCAAAGTTGGGATCTTCTCACTTTACCAGAAGAAATAGAAGGCATTTCACCTGTAATATTTGAAAAACAGCTCAGTTTTTGCTAAAAATCAATAACTGGTGAACATTCTTATTTCCTTTGATGCTATGATCAATCAATGATTTCACTTTCTTAAGAAGAAAAAACCAAAAGAAAAATCTCTACGAAACTAAACATTTTCTATGATTTTGTAACTTTTCATAAACTATATGAGCCTCATCTTGCACTCATTGCATTGATTCTAAGAAATTGTTAAGAAAAAATCTACATAATATCAGGTTCTACTGCAGGGACGAGATTCTGACAATTGTGATCACAAGGATAAGGGCAGTCAACTTCTTTGGCAATTCCTCTCCCAAAGTACCAATCACCAACAGCATCTGCAATAGTCTGAACAAAAGAAGGATCAGTAATCTGATAATTTACAGTTGAGTCTTGAAATATCTCAATAGTTTTGTTCATGTAATGCTGCATTTAAAAGAAATATGGAGAGAAACTTCTAAATAAGTTTCATTTGCAGTTCCAAAAGAAATTTCAGTTTTAACAGTTTTATCAGTTTCAGTTTTGGACACTTTTGATGGTATCATTGTTTTACTTTAAGGCCTGAAAACTCGAGACCATTCAAAATCAAATCGAAGTCAATGAAACTTAGAATCGAGGTACAATTGCATACCTTATTATGTATTCTTGGAGAATCTTCAGCATACCATGAGTCCTGCACTTCACTCTGGCCATGTGTGAAGCAGGAGTTTATAAACATTCCTTCAATCCCTGAGGTTTCAAACGCTGCAAGTGCTGTCAGCATTTTATTCCTGAATCCTGCAACAACGATAGCTTGGTTTAAGAACAGCAATGTTGCGTTCTTATGAGGATTTATAATAAATTGGATGCAATTCTTGAACCAAACTTTTACCATATTATCAATATCCTCACATCTGATTTCATTAGTGATTACAAAACCAAATATTAAATCATGACAATTCACTGTTAAACTGCAAATTTTCTTATTTCATTTTATCTAAATAACTTCAGTGTTAAAAAACACCGGCAAAGAAGACAATATAAGAGAATTAGAACCGGTGTATTTACATATCTAACACATAAACTTCAATTTTTACATAAATGCCACCTTGCCTATGCATGAAAAGGTGCATTTCACATTTTAGAAGTTAAAATACTGGTATTTTTTATGTGGTAGGAAAGATTTGTGTATGGAATTACTGTAAAAACCAAACTTTATGTGTCAAAAGGTGCATTTCACAATTTAGAAAGTTAAAATACTGGTATTTGTCATGTGGTAGGAAAGATTTATGTATGGAATTACTGTAAAAACCAAACTTTATGTGTTACAGATGTTAATACATAGGTATTGGGTGGTACGTATGTAAATGCCCCAAGAGAAAAGAATAAACAGAATTGTTCACCTTGAAGAATGCTAATCTGGTTTGGAGTACATGATGCTGGATCTAACTTACAAGGATTCCACTGTCCCGATGGATCGGCCGAAGGCGGTACAAATATGTGGTGAAACTGTTTAGCATGAAGAGCTCATTAAAATTCTCATGTTGAAAATAGACCATTAAATCACTGACATAACAAAAAACTTTTCTAACTCTTCATCACTCCTCACCTGATACACATCATAAGCAGAGTTCAAAATGAAGAAAGGATTTCGGATGTAAGGAAGATTATATTGAGGAAAGAAACACTGCATTGACAGATGAGCAATATCAGCCATTCTGAAATTTTCAACTTTTTACTATTTTCTACTTGTAAAGGGATATCAACCTGACTGGGGAAGTAATGAGAGGCCAAGCAAGCATTGTTCAAGTTGTTCTGTATTCCCTACAGCATTAACTTCATGTTGGTAGGGCAGTAGAGGTCTCATGTACTCAAATCTATGATTTGATTTTCGCGTATCATTTTATAATATAAATGGAAGATAGAAACAGACCTGAACATTAACCACACCTTTGAAAAAGGTTCTTATGGTGTCATTGCCAGTTATGTCTTTTCTGAGAATTTGAAGAGTAAGGATTAGGATGCCGTAATAAACATGAAATAAGGATTTAGTGAACCAGTATGAGGATTACACATCAAGGAAGAATCCAGCGTCGCTCATGCATTTTATGATAACAGATGCTGGGAGCATCTGAGAGAGAGAATCACAGTGAAGGAAGGCAGCAAGTCCACCTGCGGAGGATCCTGAAAGCAATGCCTGAAGTATTGGAAGATGATTTACAGAAAAACAATCAGTAATTAGTAAGTTGAAATAATAGCATGAAAGTTAAAACTTGTCTGCCAAGTTGGTTGTAGCATCTGTAGTTCACCAGAGAGGAGGATTGTGCTTTTATTTTGCAAATAAATGTTTCTTAGCATTGAAGTGTGTGGCAGGCTGAAAGCTGGCAGAGAGATGAGGGCCACTTGACAAGACCAATATTTTGAATTTTTTTTTCGGAGTTGCAAAGAAAAATTGTAGAATACTGAGGGTCATAAACATTTCATGTGCTTCTTCTGCATATGGGTGTGGGGACGTGGGGTTGGGAGTGAGTGGACAATTAGGCATTAAATTACCTTTTGCCTATTTGCAGCACTTTTTCACTTTTGCTTTTCTTTCCTGTGAGATGTTTCCTTTCACTTTTGAAATTTTTTTAATCATGGTAGTGGGTACATGCTATTGAAATATTTTTTTTTATTCAATTCCTATGATGTTTTGAGTTTCATACTTCAACATAAATTTTTTTTTTTAATCATAAGTGATGAATCATAAAATATTTGGCTTGAACCCATCACTTCAAAAAAAAGAGACTCTCTAACTAACTAGTAGGCCATGAAATATTTTAATCATCCTAAATTATTATTTATCATGAATTTTGTCAACCCATTGCTCAATGAACAAATGATGAAAAGAAAAAAGATGAGTAGAGAATAAGCAAAATTCTAAGTGTTTGTTTTAAGTTTGGATAATCCAATTAGCAAAATAGCAAAGTTAAAATACACTTCTTATAGAAGGTGTTGTTAAAATTAATGTATGGTAATACTAAAAAATAATAAATTGAAATAAAGTTGTATAAAAATGATTATAAGTATAACCCTTATTAACTGTTATCAAAAGAAAAAAAAATATTTTAAGAATTTGGTTTTTGAAATATACTTGATTTGAGGGATATGCCTCTATATCCTTATCCTTCTTTTCTTTAATCGTTCTCTCATATGCTTATAAGCCCAGAAAGTGTATTAATAAGTAGATAAAAAAGATTTTCCTCACAACATAATTTAAAAGTAGAATCATACTAACCTTAGCCATCATGCCTCTCCCCATCTTCAACTAACCCAACAACACTCACTCATTTTTTATCATTGCTCAAATCCCCTTTGGTTGCACCTAACTACGTTCAGTAGATCATACATAGTAGAACACATCTTTAGTCACACATGCAAAGCTCACCCATATTCAAATCATTATATCTTCATCCCCTCGGTCACACATCCTCTTTGGTTGCATGCTCATGGGTTTGGTCGCCCACGCTAGGCAAATTGGCCGACCGACCCTAATTGGCTCGTACACACGTCTATTGATTGGCCAATCATGTGTGTGATTTTTATGTTTCAAGCCACACATTACACATTGCCTCAACCGACCTCCCAGGTTCAGTCAGCACAACATTTTTCCTTGACCGACCACCCCAGCTTACTCGACAATACACTTTGCCTCAATCAGCGGCCCTAGACCAGCCAGCATTACAATTTGCCTCGATTGACCACCTAGGCTCGATCGGCATTACAATTTGCCTCGACCAGCCACCCTAACCTAGTAAGTATTATATTTTACATCGACCGGCGCCCCGCTCCTGTTGGCATAAAACTTTGCCTCGACCGGCCACACAGTCTGTTTGGTCTAACCGGCCACCCAGCCTTGGTTGACTGATCACTTTGCTCCAATCAACCACCCTGACCCATTCAACCTATCATTTCAGTTTGACCGATCGCCCCAGCCCGGTTGGCCAATCACTTTGGTCCAATTGGCCACCTTATCCTGCTGAGTCTATTGGCTATGTTGCTCCGGGTTGACTAACCCGGTTGACCCAGTGGTTCGAACAACCAAATTCACTTGCTCGTTGTATGTTTTGCATGCACATTAGTATTGCTTGCATGATATTTTGCATAATCATCATCACATTCTCAAGTTACATTTTGAGTGTTCATTCATATATTCACCCCACTTGGATGATTCTTTCCAATGAGAATCATCATTCTCTTGTGTTAATGCTCTTCCAGTAAACTCTCTAACTTGGGCAAATGTCTTCACGACATGCCTGCTCCTTTTGAGCCAATGCCTTCCCAATACACTCACCACTTGAGTTAATGCCCCCTTGTGGTACACCCGTTCCTTCGTCCAACTACCTCCACGACTCACCCACTCTTTCGGGCCACTGCCTCCACGACTCACCCATCATTCGGGCCACTGCCTCAACGACACGCGCCCCTTCTAGGCCACTTCTTCCAAGACACGTGCCCCTTTTAGGCCACTTCTTCCAAGACACGCCCATCCTTCAAGCCGATGCTTCCACAACATGTCCACCCTTTCAGATCACTGCCTCCATCGCACACCCATCCTTCAGCTTGTTGTCTTCATGACATGCCCCACCCTTTCTGGTCACTGTCTTCAAGTCACACCCATCCTTTGGCCCACTGCCTCCACAACACACCCACCCTCCATGGAACACCCGTTCTTCGGATCACTGCTTCAACGACACACGCACCCCCCTTCCAGGCCACTGCTTCCACGACACACAAATTCCTTTAAGTCGTACCTCCACAATACACCCATTTCTGAGTCACTGCCTCCAAAAAATACTCATCATCACTTTTAGCATATGTTTTTTTTGCATTTGCATTTGTATGTGTATGCATGCATGGATAGTAAGCCAGGTTCGATAAGCGAGTGACCCTTTTTGGTTGCTATGTCATAACGAACATTGCAAGTGAAAGAATCAAGATTGACACGAGTATGAGTGTGCTAAGGATCAAATGGATCTAACTCGTGTCATCTTGCATGTTACGGGTATGTATTTAATAGCCCTCATTTTAAAACTAAAAAAATATATTATTTTATTTATGACATCCACCGTAATTTTAAAATTATGCATGTAGTAAGTTGTGCCATATGTAAGGCGAACCTTTGTTCAAAATCCATCATAGGTAATGCCCTTTAGATCCTTTGGATCTTTAGGACAGGACGGTATGACGACCCCTTCAAAGTCATACATACCCGGAGATTTACCCTGAGCACTTAAATTTTAGTTATGACACATTCTCGTTAAATGGTGTGCTAGGCTAGGGCTAGAGTGCTTGGTAGTGTTTTTAATGCCTCTGACTATTGTTCTAGCCAAGCATCACTTTTGTGCGTTTTGGGACGCCTCTGACTATTGTTCTATGTTGATTTGATTGTTCTAGCCAAGCATCACTTTTGTGCGTTTTGGTGTGGTTGCATGTTTGATATGCATGGCAGCATAATAAAACATTCTTTTACAAGGAGCTGTGACTATATATATGCACACACACATGTACCATTAAGGAGGAGCATGTAATGATTTATACCAACTCTTTGCTTTCAGGTGTTATTTAGCTCCCCCGACAAAAAGAGCATGACTTAGATACAATTTCATAAGTTAACCCATGCTAACAATCTTATTCACGTTGAGCCTTTATTTTCCCATTCCAATGTATTTGATAATCCCTAAGCTGAGTTTGTATCAAAGATAAGGTACAGGCATGAGTTTTGAGGTGGAGCAACAACTCGTATCCCGTACCTTATGTTTGAATCTTATATTTTTGTATAGATCTAGGACCAGACATGTATATGTAGAGTCCGATTGTCTTTCCTCTTTTTCCTGAGATATATCGTCGACCCAACGACATTAGCTATACTAACAAAGATGTATATCTCATGGCTATACTAACAAAGATGTATGAGAAGCCCTTGGCTTCAAATACAATTTTTCTGATGAAGAGATTGTTTCATATGAAAATCTTGGAAGGTAGTTCAATGGTTGAATATTTGAATAATTTTAACACTATAACAAACTAGTTGTGTTCGATGAGCATCAAATTCGATGACGAGGTCAGAGCACTGTTAATTCTTGGAAAATTGTCAGATAGTTGGGATGAACAAGTTGTGTCGATAAGTAACTTTTCAAGTGGTATGAAACTAAACTTTAATGATTTTGTGAGGTTAGTATTGAATGAAGAAGTCCTCAAGAAGGGGAGTGGTAAAATTTTAAATTCTTCTTTAAATGTTGAGACGAAGGAATGAATCTGAATAGAAATATAGATAGGGACATATTCAATAAGATTTAAGGCTATCCCCGATCACTCTCTATCAAAATTTCTTGATAGTAACAAAATTTTGATTAATCTAAGCTCATTAAGAAACTAACGTCTTATTAAAAATAATATTACATTTACACACAAAATAATCTCATACCATGCCAGTAAGGTTATAACTCGAATCATTTGTCTATATTAATTGGTCAGCCAGCTCGACAAAAAAAGTAGTTACAAACGAAGCCCTCTAAATGAGTAATTTGGCCATATTGGTTTTGATGCATGTTGGAAGGTCCGCAATAATATAATAATGAATTATTATCTTAGCATTTTGTGAGACTTCAAATAATATAATAATGAATTATTATCTTAGCATTTTGTGAGACTTCAACACACACTCGGATAATAAAAAAGATATAAACAGAAGAAGACGCCTCAATTTTTTTGTGAAAAATCCCGAAAAAAGGAAAATATCATAGGGCTAAGCCCGGTTGAAATAATCCACTATGAATGGTGATTACACATGTCGACTCTTCTCCTTAATTAGAGAATATGAAGTTACAAAGATGATTATTATAAAAGTACAATAGTGATTCATCGATAATAGTCGTATTCTAACTATAATGAATGCAGTTCTTGATGATAATAGGTTGTAAAGGTCATATTCGATTGCTATGGAGGCAGTAGTCTGTCGTCAATGTTGTAGACAATGGTCATAGAACCATCTTGTTGTACATGTAATAGTTGAAAGCCATGTTAGTACTTGGTAATGTAGGAAAATAGTTGCTTCAGGAGTGTCGTTTGGCCACAATGGCCATAATAAGAAGCTGCAGAAGTTGTGAGCCACGTAGACCGCAGTTGGCCACATGGGTAATAGTGGTGACATCTTTAGACTGTAGTTGACATTTGTAGGTTGCAGGGGTTAGAGTCAGACGCATCACTAGTTATGAACCACATAGGCTGGAGAGGCCAGAGTCACGAGCTGCACTAATTATGAACCACATATGCTGCAGTTGGTCACATAGGCCATAGTGATGAGTTGTAACAACATCTGTAGGCCTTGAATTCCAGAGTTAGGAGTTGCACGAGCTGTGAATTACATAGGTCATAGTTGGTCACGTAGGTCGTAGTGGTGAGCTGTGGCGATGTCCATAGATCGTGGGGACAGGAGTTGGGAACTGTACAAGCTGTGAACCTTGTAGGCTGTAGTTGGTCACTTAGGTTATAATGGAGAGTCATGATGATTTTTGTATGATGCATGGGTCGGAGTCAGGAGTTGCACGAGCTGTGAATCATATAGGTTAGAACTGGTCATGTAGTGCAAATAGGTGAGTTGTTATGACTTCTGTAGGCCATATGAACCGGGGTCAGGAGTTGCACGAGATGTGAACCACATAGACAGTAGTTGGATACATAGGTCGTAGTGGTGAGCTATGACGACATCCATAGGTTGCGGAGGCCAGAGTCGGGAGCCGAACGAGTTGTGAACTACGTAGGTTGTAATGGGTCGTATAAGATTTAGTTGGTCACGTAGGTCATAATGATGAGTTGTGGCGACGTCCATAGACCACAAAAGCCAAACTTAGGAGCTATAGAAGGTGTGAACCACATAGACTGTAGTGGTGATGTCTGCTGACCGCGAGGGTCGGAGCTGGGAAATGCATGAGCTATGAACCACGTAAGCCTTAGTTGGACATGTAGGCTGTAATGTTGAGCTGTGGCGACCTTCGTGGGTTGCGAGGGCCGAAGTCGGGTGCTGAACGAGGTGTAAGCCATATAGATTGTAGTTGGTCACGTAGGTCATAGTGATTAGATGTGGCGATGTCCGTAGGTCGTAGGGATTGGAGTTGGGAGCTTCATGAGGTGTGTACCACATAAGTCGTAGTTGGTCACATAGGCCGTAGTGGTGAGCTGTGGCGACATTCATGGGCTGCAAGAGCCGGAGTCGAAAGCTAAACAAGCTATGGACCACATAAATTGTAGTTGGTCACGTAGGACGTAGTGGCGAGCTGCGACAATGTTCATATGATTTAGGGAGCAGAGTTGGGAGTTGCACAAGCTGTGAACCATGTAGGTTGTAATTCGTCATGTAAGCTATAGTGGTGTTGTGACGACGTCCGTAGGCTGCGGGTGACTGAGTTAGGATCTACACAAGAAGTGAATCATGTAGGACGTAGTTGGTCACATAGGCCATAGTGGTGAGTTGTGGCAAGATTCGTATGTCTCTAATGTCGGAGCCATGCGCTGCACAAGTTGTGAACCACTTAGGTTATAGTTGACAACGTATGTCATAGTGGTGAGCTAAGACAACGTCCTTAGGCCTCAAAGGTTGAATTCGGGAGCTAAATGAGCTTTGGACCATTTAGGCCGTTGTGGTAAGTTTTGATGACGTTCATATGTCACAAGGGCCTGACTAGAGAGATGCACATGGAGAGCTTTAAGACTCTGAAGATAATCACCATCTTCAGCGTGTATTGTTACACCGTTTTTGTGAGGTTTCGTTGCACTGTAAGTGTGATGCGTTATTACTCTGTAATGTTTGTCGGGGTTCGATAATGCACATTGTGACTTCACAAGGATTTCACTACAAGGAGAAAGTGGCGACCAATGATGTAAACGGCGACGACGACACGCGGAGTTGATCGAAGGGCAATGAGCAATGTTGGCCAGCATTGGCAGAGGCGGTCGCAGTTGGCCCATTAATGCACATTGTGAATTTACAAGGATTTCACTACAAGGAGGAAGTGGCGACCAATGATGTGAATGGCGACGACGACAAGCGGAGTTGATCGAAGGGCAATGAGCAATGTTGGCCAGCATTGGCAGAGGCGGTCGCAGTTGGCCGACGGAGGCGGTAGTTGGAGGTACCAGTGACAGCAGTGGTCGAAGTTGGTTGGAGGCTGCTGCGACATAAGTTAGTTAAAGGGCTTAGGCGATGGTGGAAACTAGAGTTTCCAAGAAGGCAGTCATGACTAGAGTTGGACTGAGGCGGTGGGGGACGGAGTTCGTCGGCGACAACATCGGCCAGTGGCTGAAGTTAGCTTAAGACGACAGTGATCGGAGTTGGCGGGCTGTTTTAGCCAGTGGCTACAGAAACTAAAGTTCAACTGCGGTTTGCAAATGCTGGTGCAGGAGATCGATGATGGGCAGCGGAGGCCGGAAGCGACAGAAGAGGCTGGAGGAAGCAGACAATTGAAGTTGACCAGAGAGGGTTGATGTTGGCGGCCAGCATTGGCCAGCGGCTGTAGGAGTGAGCGATCAATGGTGCTGACGAGGGTGAGCGACTGCAGGTGTAGGAGTCGACGGTTGGTGGTGGTGGCCAGCAGCAGTGGTAGCAACTGGGGCAATGCAGGATGATGAGTTGCAACTCCCTCTTCTGCAAAATCTGATCTTTCATTTTCCTAGACTCCCCCTCTCTTTCTCATGAGGGGAGCACGACACCATTTATAGATTCTAGGATACAAATAAGAAAGAAATATAGACCACTTCAGACAACCCAGAGAGATCCCCTTGATCGGGAAACAATCGATGGACATTTAAGTGCGTTAATAATGTTAGAATTGAGTGATCGTTGGCTCCTTGGTTTCATCTTGTCGCGATGCTTGATTGATTGAAAGCTTGCTAGATTCAGAGTTTGATTGACCCTCCAATTATGCCCAAAAACTTCCAAAAGTGGATATACCTTTATATCATTCTTATTCAGCTTACTTTCACAATTTTTTTTTCTTTTTTCCTTCTCTTGCATGCTTATTTATATTCCCCTAACTTCTATTAATAAGAACCAAATAATGACTTTGGTGTAGTGAAAAAATATAATTAGTTTATTTGGTCATACACAACAAATAAATAGAGGGGGTGTTTAAGATTTGCATAAATAGTTTTGGAATCTCAATCACTACGCAACACAAATGAAAAATTTTTTTTTTCATAAAATCAATCAATATTGTAAGGATATAATCAATTGATTATAATTATGTCAATAATGCAATTTACATACCTTTTGTGCATTCATCAATCCCTTTGGAAGAAGATCATTTATGATTGCCTCCCATATCCTTTTCCCTCTGAAGTGAAGGACTGTTGTCTAAATACCCAAGCTCAATTGATTAGAGAATGCCAAACAAGCACAAGAATAATAAGAGTTAAAGTATTTATTCAAATTTGAAGAGAAATCTTACTCCATTTTTGTATTCTGAATCACCAGCAAAAGAAGCACCATCACAGTAGCGAAGCTTCACTCGATTCCAGTTGTAAAAATCTGTTGTTTAATAAGGCAATGAATTTGTTGGTTTCTTTTAGTATTGATTTTAGATGTGTTTTCATAAAGTTTAAATGTTAGGTCTCTTAGTTAATTACTCTTCATACTAAAAATATTATGTCAAAATTGCAAAATGTCCTAAAATTTTATATAAATTAGGAATTTATCATAACTAATTTGTCAACTACCACACACATTTTCACATTAAAGTAAGTATATAAGAAGAATAAGAGAGAAGAGTAGGATGATGATATAGGGTTATATATAATTATATACCAGGGTTATTGGTGGGATCATCATCAAGGATACCAGAAAAGACCTCTAACTTATTCATATATCGAGTGGATCCACGTCTCGTTTTAGATCTTTCTAGACATGACAATAGATCATTGCACCACCCACCTCCCTATCAATTGAACAAATGTAGCAAATCTTGATTGATTAGCCAAATGACAAAATAGTTAAAAAAATTTTTGTAACTTCAGATAAAAATGTGTTCATAAGTATATTTTTAATAAAAAGAAATATTTTATTTAACATGACTTATACACACCTGATAAAAATGTATTAATTTTTATATGTATGATTTTTATTTTTAGCACAACTAACTTTCATTTTGTTTCATGTGATAATTAAAGAGCAAAAAGTTGGCAAAGATAATGATCTTTAGCAAAAATATGATATTTGTAAAACTAAAAAAAACTCTTACAACCACATTGAAATTATTAAAATTGGGGAGAATGATAGTGTAAATTGAAAAGCAAACTTAATGAAGAATCAATGAGTTTGTCGGTCTATTTCCATGTCTTGAGGCCCACCAAACGAGAGCTTAGGGAATTATAAACTTTTTAAAGTGAGTATCTATAAATGCAAAAATTTATAACTTATATGCACTTGCTTATTTCTTCATTGAATAAGTTCAATGAATTAAGTGGCATACTGTCTTTCAAATCAATTATGGATATAAGAAAGGAAACTTGCTTTTATATGCCTCATAATACTCCAAATTGGTTAAAAATGACATTTTTTTGTTTATTGGAAATTATTCTTGTAATTTCATTTCAGACCAAAATTCCTTCACTATATATAAAAGGAAGTTGAAACACTCACTTAATAGCTACATCTGCTCCTGAACATATTAACTTCAATTGTTCCCCCTAATCCTAGCAACACTTGCTTCTAAAGCAATTGCAGACTGTAATTGATTGATCTAAGCAAAAGTTTAATGGTGACAATCTCTACTTCTATGCCAAAATCTCATTATTGTTATTAGTAATATATGTTTGGTTATTTAGATGTCAAAACATATTCTCTCTGCAAAAAAAAAAAGAAAAAGAAAAAGAAAGATTACCTCAAACTGCAGAAGCCAATTGTTGGCGCCGGCCCCGAATCCTCTATGAAGGTGATATGCGGACGGGCTCCCATCCAAACAAACTGCATCAATAATTTATTCATTTTATACTTGTTCTGATCATTGCCTGTTTCTTTATTACAGTCTTTCTACTGTTACATTACATTCTTCTAAATTCTAATTTCTTCCTGCCCGGCACAATTAATAATAAAAAATGTAACTTTGTAATTCCTTACATTACATTCTTCTAAATTCCACATCTTTCTCCATTGAAAGAGATAGAAAACTTGCCTGCGCCAATGGAAGAAGCTTGACTGACGAGAGTCATGTTAACGAACAGCCTCTGTTCCGTCTTCCCGCTTCTCTCCGGAGTTCGCCGGAGGGATTCCACGATTCCCAAATCAACGCTCAGCAGGACTAGTACCGCCGCCCATATCGCCAAAAACCTCAATTTCCCCATCCACGAATGCCGTTTAGGAAATAGATTAACAGAGACGGAGAGGGAGAAGAAGAAGAAGAAGAAGAAGAAAGAGAGGGGGAGAGGGGAAGGAGCAGCAGAAGAAGAAGAAAGAGAGGGGGAGAGGGGAAGGAGAAAGTTCGTCCATGGGAGAGGAGTTAAGACACTATCAATTGTCAGTTTCTTTTTGTTTCGCTGCGGATGGGATACTGACATCATATCATATCAGACAACGAACGAAATGGAAATAATGAACTTAATTATTGCGCTTCGCGGGACAATTGCGGCTTGGAAACTGAAAAATTGACTTGACTCCGGTTTCGCTTTCCTGAGGTTCTGTTCGGTTGGAATGACTGTCCATATTTGTGAAAAAAAAAAATTATTTTGCTGAAATATTGGAAGATAAATTTCTCTTGAAAAGAATTTGATTTGATGAATAAAGCCTAAAATTCTGAGGAAAGTTGTCGTTTCATGCTGGAAGCAACTGGAGTGCAGGGATTTAAAATAGAAAGAAGAGAACTGTTGGATGTTTGGTTTCCATGTGGGTTGGGGGAGGAGAATCTGTAAGGAATTATTATGGATTTAAGCTTATTATAGGAAACTATTTTCTGGCTTATCATTGCAGCAAAATGTTTCCTGATTTTACTCCGTTAATTTTTCTCTTTCAGGCTCACTGTCATGCCTTGTATAGCTCTGCCATTACTCTATTTGTTCTGGTGTAATTAAAAGACAGCGATGAACGAATCAATGAGGGACAGTTTCCAAATCAGAAGGCTTTATTGTATCAGTGTGATCATTGCGTGTAGATCCAGCTCCATTGCAGGAACATATATTATATTATTATTTAAGGAAGTGTTAATGAGGCCAAATAACAATTAAATTTTGGTTTGGTGTTAAAATCAAGTTAAATTTTGATTTGGTTGGCTCGGACGTTTTATGAAGATTTTGATTAGTTTAGCCGAATTTTTTAATTTTGAACTTCAATTGCATTCAGTTTAGCCAATTTGAGAAATGATCCATTCAAATCGATTGATTGCTCGCCCCTAATTTTAGTGATGAATCGATTGGTGAAAATTCTTTCACACATTCAACATGATAAAATTCTCAATTATCA